CCGGAGAAACGCAAGGTCTGACCACGGGGTGAAGGTTTGGCGGCAGGCCGGTGTAACTTCGCACAACTGATCCTGATACTGAGCTAATATGAGCCAGTCGTCGAGGTAGCTGAGAATGCGAATGCCCTGTTCTCTCAGGGGAACAAGGGATGCCTCCGCAACTTCTCCGGGAAGAAAGGCACCGAGGCGGGGCGCTGAGAACCAGTGCGAACCACCCCGAGAACCAAACGGTGGAAGTCTCCACTCGAGCCCTACCCCCACGGCGGACCGGGAAAGCATAGCCGTTGTGTAACACTGACCTGCGTTCGAGCAGAGGGTGCGTGGGTAGTCCCGATCCGCCCACTGCTGCTCACTGGCGAGAGGAGGGTGAGTGTGATACGACACTGGAAACTGAAATTGGACAAGGAAACTTCTTGAGCTTTCACAGAAAAGAGATGCAGCAGATGCACAGCAGAGATGTAGCGGGGTAAAACAAAAAGTGGATAACCCTTTATGGTTGTCCTGCTACTGGTGACAAGATGAACCACCACTTGCATTAACATAAATATATAAATATGTCAGATTTATAGTTGAAATGGCAAAGGATATATAAAAGTTTACACCAATTATTTTTCTGTACACATCTCTGTGACTGGTGGGATATAAAAACCTGTGATGTTCGTAACAGGTGCACAAATGGGCCACAATGCGTCAAACTGAAGAAAATGAACAAAGTAAACACTCAAGTGTTCTCTGATATGGAGCTTTCATTCTAGTGAATCGGTTCATTTAGACAGTTCGTGTAAATGAACAGCTTCACAAAGATGACTCACTGAAATGACTTAACTCCTTACATTATGTAGGCTTACTATATAACATAAATGAGGGTGTTTTGTTGCATGTACATTAATTGAGATGAAATAAAAATATGGCTTTGATTAAATTGTAACCTTGGTGAGTATATTTTAGTTATAAAACATAACTTTAGGACCTAACAAAAGTATAGTTTAAATACTTAAAATTATGATTTGCTTAACAAAATACACTTTTTGAAATGAGCTTCCCCAACACTGGTTAGGCAGATACATTGTGAGACAGCGAGGACTAAATGAGATACTG